TGCGAAAGAGGTATATAAATCGAGAACTAATAATATTCTTTTTAAAGATAATATTAACAATCTATACTAATTTATTATTTTTTGTATTACAATTTTTTAGAAGTGAAAAAACGACATTCTTTAAAATAAAAGAATGCCTAAAGAACGAATCATATTGCAATGATAGATTTTAAAAATTTTATGGTGCGGTGCATGGTAGGTAGATGATATAAATTTATTTATTTTATATATTTGTTTATTTAGAAATATTACATTCTGTCACATCAAGGACATTTATAATAGTGTTCAGAGAAAGCACACTCACACTCTATTTACAATAAAAAAAAAATAATAATACAGAAACTTAATAATAATAAATACAATAAAATAAAATAAAAATAAATACAATAAAATAAAATAAATGTATATAAACAAAAGAACTAACCTAATCATACACACTCGGGCTTGAGTGGAGGATCTGGCCATTGCCAAAACTCCAATAGATGCTTATTTACAAAAGGTCTCTGGGCCACTGCCGCTTCAACCTTCGAGGAGGATTGTAAGGATGGGTGGTGCTGGATAGAGATTGTGCAAGGGGATTTGGATGATAGGTAAGGTTCTGGTGAAATTTGGAGAATTTTTCTGGAATAAGGTCTAGGACAAATGGGATATTAAGGTCATGGTGTAGGATTTTGTTATTTACATAGAACGGAGCATCAACTATTGTTCGAAGGACTTTAGATTGAAAGGATTGAATACGTTTGATGTTAGAAGCTTTTGCTGTCCCCCACAGTTCAAGTCCGTATGTCCATATAGGTTTCAGTATTGTCTTGTAGATAAGTAATTTGTTTTCAATAGAAAGTTTGGATTTTCTGTTTAGTAGTCTGTATAGCTGGCCGTATCGTCGGTTGAGTTCTTGTCTTTTGAGTCTAGTATGTGGGTTCCACGTTAGTCTTCGGTCTAAATGAAAGCCAAGATACCGGACTGTGTCTGAGTAAGGAAGCTGGATGGAATTAAAGTGTACTGGTGGACAGGAACTGCGTCGGAGTGTAAAGGTAATATGTTGGCATTTAGATTCATTAACTTTAATGCGCCAGTTATTACACCAGTGCTCAATCAAGGTGAGGTGGTTTTGGAGATTTAAGGATGCTATGTTGGGATCTGAGTCGGATGATAGAATGGCGGTGTCATCAGCAAAAGTTGCCAGGAAGGTATCGGGATGGACAGGGATATCGGCGGTAAAGAGGATGTAAAGGACGGGACCCAATACGCTACCTTGAGGAACACCTGCCTCAATTGGATAGCAATGCGAAAATTCAGTACCGCAACGAACTCGGAAGGTACGATCTGAGAGGTAGGAACGGAGAACAAGGTACAAGGACTGAGGAAGATAGTTTTTCAGCTTGGAAAGAAGCCCGGCGTGCCATACCCGGTCGAAAGCTTGAGCTATGTCCAGAAATGCACCCGAGCAATATTGCTTGCTTTCCAATGCTGCGGAAATATGATCAACCACTCGGAGTCCTTGTTGGACTGTAGAGTGTTGTGAACGAAATCCGAACTGATGGGAAGGAAGAGTTTGGGATTCTATAAAGGGTAGGATGCGTTTCAGGAGGATCTTTTCAAAGATTTTTGAGAGAATCGGAAGAAGGCTAATTGGTCTGTAGGACGTTGAGGTGTTGGGAGGTTTGCCTGGTTTCGGAAACAGGATAATAGTGGAATGTTTCCACAAAAGAGGAAAGTGGGTGGTTCGTAGGATGCTATTGTATATGTATGTAAGGAATATGACAGCTTTAGGAGGGAGTTGTCTAAGGATCTGAGAGGTAAGGAGGTCGTATCCAGGTGATTTACGGGTAGGTAGTTTTTGTAAGAGGAATTTGACCTCAGAAGGATTAACTGCTTTAGGCGGTAAGGAGAGTGGGATGGGTGAATTAAGGAATTCCTCTACTGCTGACGTGTGGGTGGGATTGGATTCTGGATGAGAGGTGAATGTAAGGGAAAGGTGTTTGGCGAATTCTTCGGCTCTATCTTCGTCAGATGCTGCCCAAGAGCCATCACCTCGACGGAGAGGATGTGATATATGATGGGGTTTTAGGATATGTTTGGTGGTCTTCCATAGGGAATTGTCATGAGAAGAGAGGGAAGTGAGGTAGGAGTTGAAGGATTGGGATCTGAAGGTGGCCAATTCTATCTTTAGTTTTTTGCAAAAATAATTATAGGATTGGCGATCGGTGGGGTGTCTAGTACGTTGCCATAATAATCTGGCACGGCGTTTGGTATGGATTAGGTCTATGAGGTGTTGAGGTAACTTATTTTTCTTAGGAGTTCTTGAGGAGTGGTTTGGAGAGGAAGCAGTCCAGATTGCTTGTTGGATAGTGGTGGTAAAAAAGTGTACGGTATTGTCAAGGTCATCTGGGGTTTTCAGGGTCATTCTGAGGTCAATTTTATCGGTAAGGATTTGGTGAAAGAGTTTCCAGTTAACTGGGCCTCTGATGAAGGACGGTGGAGAAGACTTAGGAATAGGAGCTAGAGATAATTGGAGTAATAATGGACTATGATCTGAGGATAGTTCGGCAAGAGGGGTAAGGGAATGATTGAGGGGACCTAAGCCACTGTGGATGAAAAAATCAAGGATATCGGGATTGCGGTTAGGATCTGTGGGCCAGTAGGTAGGTGAGTTGGGTGGAAGGAGACTGAAACGTTGGGTATTGAGTGCAGACAGAAATGTTCTGCCACGAGAATTCGTGGTTCTTGAACCCCAAACTTGATGCTTGGCATTTAAGTCTGCACCCAGGATGAAATGATGACCTAAGGAGTTGAGGAGAGAACTGAACTGGACTTTGGATATGGAACTGTTAGGAGGGCAATATGCTGATGCAAGGGTGACTGGAAAGGAGAAGGCTTTGATTACAATAGCGGTTGACTGTAGGAAATCTTGAGTAGGTAATGGGAGTAAGTGATGGGAGAGGGATTGGTATACGATGACAGCAGTGCCGGCATGTGCTCTGCCATCAGGGTGGTCAGTACGGTATGTTAAATACTGTGGGATTTTTAAATGCTGTTTTATGGTCAGTCGAGTTTCTGTAATTAGGGCTACGTCAATGTTCTTGTCTTGTAGTAAAGCTGTTAGTTCGTCAACGTGATTTCTAACATCATTCGCATTCCAAAGGAGAATGGACATGGGTTTTGGGATGTGCGTCATTAAGGATTTTTCAAAGGAGGGATGAGGTGAGATACGAGATTTGTAAGGAGTGATATGAGTGGAGTGACTATGGATTTGAAATCGGTTAGGAAAGATGCTAACAAACTAGTGAGATCTGTTGCATTTGAAGGAGGAGGAATATGAGGAATTTGAGGTTGTTGATGATTATGTGTGTTAGGATGAACAGAATATTGAGATTGGGGCTGAGGTAGTTGCTGCGGCAGGGCTTCACATGTATTATTGGGGTTCTTACCTCCAAGTAGTTCGGAGTATGATAAATTATTGTTAACAATTCTAGAAGGTTCTCTTCTTGGTCTGGTTGTCTCATCTTGAATCCGGTTCTTCTGGTATCTGGATTTGAGGCTCTTATAGGTTTGGCAGCCTTTGTAGTTGGCCGGGTGTCCCTCCTGGCATAGTGCACACACTGCAGGATCTTGTATTGGTTTGGTGCACTCCACAGATTTGTGCTGTTCACCGCATTTCACGCAACGCGGCAGATGGTGACAATAAGTTTTCGTGTGGCCATACGCCTGGCAATTGTGGCACTGCACAATTTCCTTCTTGGGGTATGGCTTCTCTATCTTCACGATAGTGTAGTACAATCTCTTGATATCATATATTTTTTCAATGCCAGGTGATGGCTCTAGATCCACGAAAAATAAAGGTAGTGGAACTTTATTACTCACTCCTGGCTGCTCCTTATTCTCCTTCAGAACGTTGGTTACCTGACGCACTTTGAAACCAAGCGTCGCTAGTTCTTCTTTTATCACTTCAGTTGGGGTTGAGGAGTGTAAATTTCTTACCACCACTCGTAGCGATCTCTCCTGTTTCAGCTGGTACGTGTGGAAATTTGCATTCGTTTCTGACAGGTACTTCACAATTTTTCGGTAGGCTTCTGCAGTATCAGGTGTTATTTTTGTGTCGTTAGTCCTGTTGAGGCAAGAATAACTGCCGGAGCAGATTTCGTTTAGCTGTGTACACAGTAGTTGAAAATTTTTGATATTTTTTACAAATATCGGAGGAGGCCTTGGTTCCCTGGGTACTGCTGCTGACTCCATTACTTCTCTGTCATTATGAAGCACTTGGAACGGGTTTGGAGTGAAGAAAGGAGATTCTTCAACCATTTCTTGCGAAGAGGTACCTGGTTGAGGCTGAGGTTCTGTATCTGAAGTTTTCACTGTGGTTATTGGAGCTATTTCTCACAGGCAGCGACGAGTTTTTTGTTTCACTGGTGAATCACGAGGGGTACTAACGCCGTCTGACCGAGTCCTCTTAGTGGGCACCTTACTGGACATCACTGCCTGACAATGCCGCATATCATAAGAGAAGAAAAAAAAAAATAAAATAAAATAAAACAAAAAAAAAAATTAAAAAAAAAATGTAGCAAACTGTAAATAACAACTGCTCTGGTGTACACTTCAACTATATTCAGTAAATAATCAAAGAGATTCCGCTGAAAAATAGGCAACAACTGAGAGAAGATTTCAGAACACGTCCTTCGCATCAGCCGATCCACAGCTGATATAAATTTATTAAAAATTTAAAATAAATTTAAAATAAATTTTGGACTATTTGTGTTACTGATAGTTGTTAAATAAGATGTGTCTGATAAGGATGTATTTGAATTGTAAAAACTAAATTAAAATTAGTTTTGCAGGATCTTGAAAATGGCTCCTGAAGCTGAAACGTTGACTAAAGAATACAGGATATAAAAAATGTGTATATTTGGTGACCTTTGGCCTAAAATATATATAAAAAAATTATGAGAAAATGGCACCTAACCTGAAGGATGTGACTAGAAAATTATATATATATATCTTACTAAGTTTTGCTGCGAGTATCTTCTGACAGACTTCTGTCTTCAACAGATGCAATCCTACAACCTTCAAACCGGTGTGAGATCTGGCGGTAGTGGCTCCCCAGCCGTAAGCTTTACATTCTATTTTGTCTTTCGTATATTGATCGAGCAAATCTGAAGTTTCTGTGAAGTTTCCTTCGGGTAATTTAGCAGGTCGAGTTTTTCCGTTGAATGCAATATCACTTGATACGGCAATGGCTCCGTAATCACAAAATAATTCTGTAGGATCATAATCTGAGTGAACGAAAAATTTTCGAATATTTTTAATAATTCCTCTTTCTGTATAACTGCTTCCACAACTTATTAAATAATTTTTCGGCAATGCTACTGAATATCCTTTCTTCTTCCTACGGTCATCTGAAAGTTACAATCTAATATACATGGTGTTTCGTAATTGCACGGCACTATTTTAGGTATGTGTTCACTAACACAAAATAAACAAAAAAGTTCATATTAACATATATCTCAAACTCATTTATTAAACATATATAAAAGGTTAAGGATTTATTATTACTATTTATTTATTATCATTACAACATTCAGAGTAACTGTTCAAAGGAGTCAATGCAATTCAACAATACGGAGACTCCTTTGAACAGTTACTATGAATGTTGTAATGATAATAAATAAATAGTAATAATAAATCTTTAACCTTTGCTATATGTTTAATAAATGAGTTTGAGATATATGTTAATATGAACATTTTTGTTAATTTTGTGTCAGTGAACACATACCTAAAATAGTGCTGTGCAATTACGAAACACACTGTATAAAAGGAATTTTTCTCTAATTGTTACGGAATGAATATTATTTCATGAAAATTTTTACTAATTATGTATAGTGACTAGTCAATATATTTTGGTGAGAAGGGTGGGTGAAGGGCCAAATCATAACATTTTGGAACAATTTTTATGACATAATTTCAATAGTTATGACATAATTTCACCAAATTTAATTTACCAACATTTTTTGGATTTGAAGTTGTAATTTTGCCACTTTACAACAAATATATTCTGTTCTATTTAGATGCCTTATAGTTATGATAAATTTCCATTTCTATTTCTATTTCTATTCTATTGCATTTATATTTTTGGATAAAATGTTTTACCACAATTTTAACATTTTGAAGCGAGTTCTCACGTTTTTAAATTTCCAATAGTTTAGATTTTCGAATTTCGGGAGAGGTTGACATCCCCCTTGTTCCTCCTTAAAAATGTTTCTGAAAGTATCTCAGTACAAAGTTATACTTATTTATTATCAGTACCTCATCTCTGTATCTGATACTCTTTATTAAACTCTATAAAATTCCTATTAAGTGGTTTTAGAGGTGAGAAGAACGTAAATCAACTTTGTTGCTCTTTAAAAAATTGTAATATTTATTCAAAACCTGTCTGGTATCTAGAGTATATTTTCGTTTTTTTATTGAAAAACATAGTTGATATTTGTTTTACGGACCACAAAGAACCCTTAAATACGAATTTTGAAGCAATCGAAAAATTAAAATTTTCTGCACAAAATTTGTGCCTAGGCCGGCATTCACAATGTTGTCGACGACTACAAAAATTGTGATAACTTTACAATACTTTCACCGATACATACGAAAATTATCAGGTAATTAGGCCTCTGTATGCTACACGACATGGTTTAAACCCATTGTAAACAAATTAAAACTAATGACATAAAATAAAAATAGGCTAGAAGTTTTTCTTAATTTATAGCTTGAAATGAAATGAAATCCAAAAGTTATTGGTTTCGGTTGGAAGAGCAGTGTTTCCGATCCAACTTTCCGACAGTTGTAGTAAAGTTGAATTTGAGGAATGTCTAGGGGACTTTTAATTGCTTTAGTTGACGATTGGAAAAAAAATCGTCCAAGAAAATCAAGTTATATAATTTTTAATTATTACTTATAAAATATAAATATAATCAAGTTATAAAGTATTTATAATTCATATAATACAATAGTCCATATTTTTTTGCTTATTTTACAGAAATTAGTTCTGCGCAAACGCTTGATTTGAATGTTCCATAGTTCTTCTATTTTTTAGTAGAATAAGTGCTCAGTTTTACTTAAAAAAACAGGTAGGCTGACATCAAAACAAAAGGAACAACAATGGACTAACACCACAGTGACTAGTGTTGATATTTACTCTGTACTATTACAATTTTTTTATTATTTATTTTTTTAATATTACTATCTGTCTCAAAGGAAATTTATAATAGTGTTTAGATATCACATTCTTGATATCTAAATATAATAGTGTTTAGATTCACATCAAAGAGCTTGCGGATGGGTTGTGGGAGTAGGTGGCGGGAACGATGAAATAGCTTAAGGGTACCTATTGACTTACTCGAGATGAGAGCGATATGGATTTTCCAGGAGATGTTTTCGTCTATGGTGATTCGTAGGTTTTTAACGGAGGAGCTGAATGTGATAGGATGATCGTTGATGACTGAAGGAGGAAGGAAGGAGATGTATTTAAGCATAGAACAGGAACCTATGGTAATGATATGAGTTTTCATCGCGTTTAGCTTTAAATTATTCAGACTTGCCCAGGCACTGTTCCTATCTAGGTCTGCCTAAATATTGGCGAACGCGACTAGTAGCTCAGAAGGGTGAAAGGATAAATAGATTTGGAAGTCATCAGCGTATAAATGGTGTGAACAGTGGTAGATGGATTTGGAAAGATCATTTATTTAAAAATTGAAAAGGAGAGGGGAAATGCTCGAACCCTGGGCCACTCCAGAGGACAGTGTAAGGAATGAAGATAGGGGTTGGTTTGGTATGCTGACTGCTTGAGTTCTGTCGGATAGGAAAGACTGCAACCAAAGGATAGAGCTCTTGGAGAAGGGTAGAGATTTTAATTAATGTAAAGTATAGAGTGGGCTAAGGAATCAAAAGCTTTGGAAAAGTCTTGAAGTATTAACGCAGTTAACAGTTTTTCGTCCATTGCGGTATATAAGTCATTGGTAATTTTTAGTAGGGTGGATTGTGTGGAGAAGCTAGGACGAAAACCAGATTGGAGAGGATCAAGTAGTTTGTAATACAATAATATTTACTCACGCTAGACGACTGTTTGTCACCGTTGACCACTGTTGTGTTGTTTGTCCTTAATACTCAGAAGCTTAGGAGGATTAATTGCCGCTACTCAATCCACTGCTAGTAAAACACGATCTTTTTCTGTAATAATTTAATAAGCCGTAAAAAATATGAAGGACGTAAATAAACTTGGTTGACCGTGAAAATAGATGAAAAAAAAATAAAAATTTAGAAGAAATAACCGAGGGTACGAATATTAAAGAGAAAAAACTGTAGGAGCGAAGTGAACTGCTTACCGTCTCAGGCCATTCTTTATTATTTTTATTTTAGTTATTATTTACATATTGTATGAATGATTAATGTAGCCTTATTATTAATGCCCTTAGTGGTAGAAAGTATTGGGCTATGTATGTTCTTCATTGCGACCCGAAAATTCCCCAGCACAGATGTACTTAGGAAGACAAATCAAGACTCGATTAGATGCACTGTTTTCAAACAGGTAAGACACTCTATCCTGTTCCTCATCCTCGATTTAATTAATTTATTGTGGGGAATAGTGTGTGTGTGTGTGTGTGTGTGTGTGTGTGTGTGTGTGTGAAATGGTTTACGAAAAATAGAGAAATGTAACATTGGAATAATCGATGAAACAGCTGGATGATAACACTATATTGCGAAGCTTGATGATTGTTAACACCTTAAAAAGTAGATAGACAAACTTCATGATTGCAAGATTCCTTAGGCATCAAAAGCATCCTCATAAGTCGAGATATCACATAATGACAGGCTTCTATTGGCTACTACATGGTGCCATGGTGTTAGTATTGAAGACAACGATTAACCTCAATCTCCTAGATAGACCGCCAAACCCAGTGGCTACTTCTGCACCGGGGTATACAGTTCCAACACCTCCCAATTTCCGTAGATCTCAACGTCAGCCAACGTTGAAGTCAACGGAGACCGCATTCCTATCTGCAAGATTACATGCGAGGTACACTTAGTATTAGTACATTTTTCTTTAATATACAATAATTAATATTACTAACGCAAATAACCTTAATTACTTATCATGTAGTGATCCAAAGAACATATTTAACCTGTAATATAAGACACACAAATAGACAATATACGACAGCCTCTTTTAGTGTGTTAATGCAAAAGAAACTTTTGAATATGAATACATCGGATATAGCTACTATATTCACTTACAATCAGTTATACAATGAGCAGCTGTCAATAAATATGTTTTTGTTATTATAACAGCTCCGCATATATGAAGTGCAAACCTCCCTCTTCTTCTCTGTAAAGATGCTATAAATGGTGCATTGATGATATTTACCGTGTGCCCTCCAACTATTCGAAGATTAGGAATAATGCTACTTTTATTTCTTACAGCCTTACAAAAGAGGGTATTTGTTAAAATGAAAAATAACTGATAAACTAAAAGTATCATGGCATAAATATTGCCTGATCAATGATTTTATAAACATCTGTTCTCCAACGTTGCTTATCTATATATACATATGCACCGATTAAAAAGATATCAATTTTCAACCCTTAACAATTGTTGAATAACAGTCTATAATTATAAGAAATTTGAGAATACTTTATGTTTATTTTTCTAATTTTCTTTTTTAAATTAGTCATGGATAACCGACATTTTTCTTATAATTATAGACTGCTATTTTCGTTGAAAACTCTGTTTCGAACATTTTTACGATCGCAATACGTACCCTTAATATATATTACTTATATAAACAGGTAAATGAAACATGGTCATTCTGAATTTACTGAAAACAAATTCTCAAAAAAGCTTTCTTTGGTGGATAAATAATATAAATAAGGATTTCGTTAACTTGAATTTTATTTGATTTGTATATATAATTATATATATATATATATATATATATATATATATATATATATATATATATATATATATTTTTTCAAGTTAATTTATTACTAGCCATATTTACACCAATTTAAAAAAAATTTTTGTCACTTAATGACTACTCATCACAATGACGACGTTTCGGCTCGTCGAGCCATTTTCAAGTCTAATAATTTTTTTTTCATTTACAATCATATATTAACTTTAACATATTTCAAATTATAAAGATTCTTATTATGTACCTAAAATACCCATCATGTACCTGTCATTTTCACTTATGCGAATTGCAAGCGTCTACTCATAATAAAATTCCTTATTATTGTCATGTTCACCTTTAATTATTTAACAACATTATTATTACTCAATTCTTTACTATTAAATGATTCAAAATAAGTTAAAATTACCTTGTTTCTGAGTCACCCACATGTCATCCATCTCATTTTTATTCAGTGACTGGTTATTCTTATAGGAGTAGGGGAAGACTATTTATTATGAACATATATAATGCTGTTACTCAATATTACATGTGGATCTATTTTAAGTAATATTAGATGATTTATTTCAAATTTTGATTTTTTCAATTGAACTAGCGTAAAAAGTATTCATATTATCCACGTCTGTATGATTATTTACTGAGTTTTTTTAAGTTTTTAGTTATGTATATTGCTTCTTTAATTCTACGTTTATTCGTATTTCTTTCATTATGTAGGATTTTGGCATTTTTGAAATCAAATTCATGTTTAGTTTGCATATTATGTTGAGAGAGTCCAGTAGCTAATTTAATTTTTGTGTTTTTTGAATTACAATTTTGTTTATGCTGTTTAGCCTTTTTTCAAACCATTGGGATGTCTGTCCAAAATATGCTTTGTTGTTGCAATTTTTACAATTTATTTTATAAATAATATTCGTTAATTTATCGATAGGTACTTTATCTTTAGTTTTCGAATAAATTGTATCTAATTTATTAATTGGCTTGCTTGCAAATTTAATTTAATTTACATCGTATTGTTTAAATGTTCTTTCAATTTTATCAGTTAAGTTTCTAATATATGAGACGCTAAAATATTTTTTAGGTTGTTGTTTGTTCCCATTACATTTTTCAATTTATGTCTTAATGTCATGTATATCGTTCATGGAAGTTTTTGTTTTACTGCATTTTCAGTTTTAAAATAATTTGTTATTAAATTCGGTTCTTTATTAATTTTAATATTTTGCTTCACTTTCACTTCGCTCCTGTCATCGCTAATATCAATAATCTGTTTGTTACTATTGTCATTTATAATTAACTTTTTATTTTTATACCATAATTTATTTATTAATCGAATGGGGTACCAATTTTCTAATAGAATTTGATATATTTGTGCTATGATTTCTTTTATATGATTTTGATCTGTTATTAATTTTGCCTTATTTATTAAATTTTTAGCTGTGTTAATTATTATATGTTTTTTGTGGTTACTGTGACAATTTAGGATTCTATCACTAGTTATTGTTTTTTTGCACCATGCCGTGCTAAGATCGCCACTTTCGTTTCTGTGAATATACATATCAAGATATCTTATTTTGTTGTTATTCTCAATTTCCATTGTGAATTTTAGTTTATTTGATATATCATTTAGTTTATCAAGAAAATTAACAGATTCATTTTTATTTATTATTGCAAGTATATCGTCAACGTATTTTATAATAAGCTTCGGTTTTTTTCCCCAGATCATATCATAAATTATAGCATTATCTATTAGATTGTTCAGATATATGCCCGAAAGATTGATTGACATACATCCGCCCATCGGTAGACCATTTTTCATTTTGTAATAATTATTATTATAGGAGAAATAGCCATTTTCGCAAATTAAATTGATTCCTTCCATAAAAACGATTTTATCTTTTATTTCTGTGTACGGTTCTATTTCATCCCATCGTTTTTCCAGTATTCTATATATTTCATTAAGTGGAACATTCGTAAATAGGGATTCCGCGTCATAGCTTACTAGATTTTCGTTTTCTTCTATCCTATTTATACTATTAATTTTTTATTTTACTTGCATTGCATTATTCATATCGTATCTATTATTATTGTTTAAATTGTTTAAGGCTGAGTTTAGGAATTTAGCCATTTTTTCAGTAATGACATTTATATTATTTACAATTAGTCTAAGAGGTTTGTCATTTTTATGTAATTTACTCAGACCATGTATTCGTGGTATTGTATAATGTCTAGTTATGAGTTTTTCTTTATCCTTTTCATTTATAAATTTCATTTTCAATAATTTATTTATATACGTCAAGGTTTTATCCTGGATTTCATTTGAAGGATCTTTCCTAAGGCATCTATCTTGCTAATTTATTAAATAAGTTATTTGTTTTTACTTCATAATTTGTCAGAAATGAGGTATTAAAAACATTCTCCAAAGGTAAAATTTTTTTCAGCAAGTGTTGCGGTATCGTGTCCGAGTATTTACATTTTTTTAAATAAAATATTTTATTATTTATCAATATTACTCAATTCTTCTTCGGTGCATACTATTATTTTCAATTTTTATTATTTATCTTTAAAATTTTTGAAAAATTGTTAAGAAATTTATAAGTACATGATAGGTTTACATTACCATTTATTGTATTCACAATTGTAAATTTCCAATTCTTCCATACTTCGTCCTTCGGCATGTTTTCTGGGTCGTTGTTAGGCCTCCCAGTTAATAATATTCACAATATTACTCAATTCTTCTTCGGTGCATACTATTTATTTTCAAGTTAATTTATTATTAGCCATATTTAAACCAATTTAAAAAAAAATTTTTTGTCACTTAATGACTACTCATTTTAGACTTGAAAATGGCTCGACGAGCCGAAACGTCGTCATTGTGATGAGTAGTCATTAAGTGACAAATTTTTTTTTTAAAATTAATTTGAAAATAAATAGTATGCACCGAAGAAGAATTGAGTAATATTGTATATATATATGTATAAGTTAAACGTTGCGGGCTTTAAACACTTAAAAAAAAGAGTAAAGGTTCAACAAATAACACGCATGAAGTCAGAAACAAGACTGCTTTATTCCTCCTTATAATCCTCTATATATACATTCTATGTTGTTTACATAACTGCTTTTGGTATTAAAGCTAATACTGTCCCGCTCCGTACCTTAACTCGCCCCCCCCAGTTTACGGATACTCTTCGTAAACTTAAAAAAAATAAAAAAACATAAAAAAAATAAACTCATATATATACAACGACAAGGTTCTCTTGCCCACATTATAACACAGGTACGGAGTGTTCAGTACTTACAACCTAATCTAATGAAACACAAACAAAAATATTCCTTATATATCAAAATAATAATAAAAAAAAAACACTTTCCTCTTTACATTTTTCTCACAAATGAAAGGCGTATTTCACTGCTTTCAAAATATACACAAAGTTATGTAAGAACACTATATACAAAACAAACAAAACAAAACAAAAAAAAATCTTCTTTCCGGAGACGAGGGCACTCCAGTTCTAAGGTTTTTGTGACTCTGTAATCGGAAATTTTAATTGTTCTATGTGAACCCGTCCTTCGTTTTTTTGGTTCGTTAACACTCTCAATCGTCACCACATTATGCTCTCTAATGACTATCACCCTGAATGGACCCTCATATCTCCGCACTTCCTTTCCCCTATTCGAGCCTAATTTGCGATACCCCGATTTTCAACCCCCCCTGTTACTTAGTTCACTTTGAGATTTTCCCGCGCCACCCTTTTTCGCTTTTCCCCCTCTATTTTTTCCTTAACCTTCCCCCAGAGATTACCCAGTTCCATTTTATTACTAACCATTCGTTCTGTCATTTGCTCATCTGCAGCTGTACCTCCCCAGTCCCGTTGCCGCCCGCGTAAACCGAAGAGAATTTCGAATGGAGAGAACCCTGTTGTCGTATGTATAGAATGGTTGTACGCTGCCACCGCCTTCCGCATTGCCACATCCGGTTCCAACCCTTTTTCCACCTGATACACCCTTAGATGGTCACTCAGAGTGCTGTGGAGTCTCTCTATACTTCCCCTGCTCTGGTGGTGCCCTGGAGTATTAAGATGCCACCTGACACCTACGTTCTTCATTTCCGCTCTGATTTTGGCATTGTCAAACTCTCTGCCCCCGTCGGATGTTATGCGATCGGGTACTCCGTAACATTGGAACCACGTCTGGAGGGCTCCTAAGACTGCCTCTGCTGATCGCTCCTGTACCAGGTACGCCATTGCCGCTTTGCTAAAGAGGTCTATGAGCGTGACCCACTTATACCCTCTCCACGTGAACGTATCCACTTGCAAGTCGCTTAGTGGTGCATCGAACGTGGGTGTCTCCTCTTGCATCGTTCTTGGGGGGTGCCTGTCGTACTTTGTGCTCGCGCACACCCTGCAGGACCCTATGAGTTCTGCGATCGTTTTCTTCATCCCCCACCAAAAATATTTCCGACGGAACGCTTGAAATGTCTCCTGCGCCCCGCGGTGGTTGGTCTTGCCCTGGTTGTAAGCAAGTGTTATGTCCTTCTGCTGTTCTTCATCCCGCACTGTATCAACCATCAGTTTGCAACGAATGAACGTCCTATCCATCCC